GCTGCACATTTCTATTTGAACTAAACCAAAATGCCCACAGGTGGTTTAAACAGGTTGCCCATGAAGAGGGTCAGGTAGGGAGAGTTTACTGGAATGGATGACCCCCTCGATGGAGAGACGCCAGCCCTTAAACACGCCAAGGCTTCCTTCTACTCTGGGAACACAATCCAGACTGCCTAAAATGGACCATAAAGCCTGTCACTTTATGGCCACTGCCTTTCCAGTCTCATGGTGGGCCTTGCTTGTCCTGGCCCCGGGGGACTCTGGCCTCCGCGTCCTTCCCTGTGCATGCGTCCTCATGCGGGGCCTTGGCTCGTGTTCCTGTCTGCTTGGGATGCAGTGCCCTCTTTTCCAGCTCAGTTAGCTTCCGCCTCCCTTTGTGCCCTGTCTCTTCTGGTCCCCTCCTCTGGGGGGCATCCTGTGTCACTCGCCCACTTTGCATCATCTGGCCCCTTCCATCTCTCGGTCCCACTGCATTTCCTCTCCACCTTGCCCAGCCTGCTTCTGGCTCCCCTGATTTTTCCACTTTGTGAGTCGGCCAGGCTTGATCCCTGCTCACTTTGCACCTGCTATTCCCTCTGCCTGGAACACGCTTCCCGCCCATCTCTGGCTCTTCCTTGCTCCTCTCTACCTGCTCCCGTGTCATCTTTCTAAGAGGACTTCCTTGCTAGCCTAATGAATGCAAACATCCTCCCCAGTAACTTTTTTTTTTCTTCATGGTATTTGTCACAATTTGAATCTTCTTTGTCCTCATGCTTTCTATTTTTAGGGATAAAGTATAAGCTTTGGCTACTAACCCCCACCATCCCCGCCACCCCAAGTAAATGATGTCCTCGATGTTTGTCCAATAGCCTACTTCTCAACAAGGGAGATTCTTGACATTTGTCAGATAGTGCTTGTCAAAGCCTAATAGGAAGGGGCTGCTGGCATCTTGAGTGTAGAACCAGAGAAGATACCAGACACTCAACAATGCAGAATCCCCCCAATAGAATTTTCCAGACCAAAAGGTCAATATTGAGATTGAGAACTCTTTGTCTAATATCACCCAATAGAGGACAAAGTTTTCCAAGTGCTGGACTAGGAAGTAATACAAATGAATACTACATATTAACTTGGTGACAGAGTGCTTGCCTAGTGTGCTGGAGGCCCTGGGTTTGATCCCCAGTAACATAAAAAAATAAAAGAGTTTGGCAAAGCTTCCAGCACCCAGATCTTATTTCTGGTTATGATAGTGACCATCTCTTGCAATGCACCAGTTAGTTGCCTTTCTTTTAAGTAAACATTGGTAAATCTTTCAGGACCCACTTTTAGCAAATGAGAGGTAATGATTTATAAAAACATATTAAATTTCTTTAGGTTGTATTCATGGTTATATATTTCCTTACTAATATATTACTACTGATAAGAATCGTGAGCTATCTCTTGGAGGAGTCTATATAAATTTCTCTGACCTACCTTTTGATATACTAAACCTTTTGGTCCATTCCAATTTTTGTTTAGAATAATGTTTAAAAGACATGGTAATTTTGTTTTCAAAGATGTGAGCATTGATATGTTGGCTTCACCTGCCTGGCATATAATAGGTGCTCAATAAATACTTTTGAACTGAACTGACAGCTTTCTCTTTTTTAAGTGGGAATCCTAAGATCAAAGGAAGAGTCTTCTAAAGGTTACATTTTTTTTTTTTTTTTGGTATGGAAAATGATTGGCGCCTTTGGGGAATCAAGTTCCCTTAAGCGGTTGTTAATAATTGGTGACCCTAAAGGAGCTTGAATTTCTAAAGAGACACTTTGACCATTAATCTTCTTATACTATAATCCTCAAGCATGGGAAGTTATTAGTGGATAACTGTGAGCCGTGGTAAATGCTAGCACATTTTGATGCGTTGATGATGTGAGGCAGAGGTTACTTGAAAATATTCTAGAGCGTCCTGCCCTGTGGAAGATGAGGATGCAGCCAGCATCTTTGATGGTGGTGGAGACCCCAAGGGCCACTCCCTTCTCTGCAGGTACCTGCTACCTTTGAGGCACTGCAACTCCTCTGGAGAATAGTGTTTCCAAGAAGCAAGTGTCACTGCTAGCTTGGTGACGTAGGGAATCACTCTTACCAAAGAATTGGTATAGTAATACTATCAAATCAAGACTTTCTAAAGGATTAAATTAGAAAATACATGGCAAGTTTAGCAGAACCTCTGGCACAGAGCCAACACCTAGTATTGTTCCTTATTAGTACATTGAACCGCAGCTGCCCATCAGCAGGGGTTCCCAAGCAGCCCACTCATATACAGGCATATATGGCCGGTGGAATTCAGGGAGAGCTGGCAGGCCAGGAAGAAGAACATGTTTTTGGTCTTCTGTTCCATTAGGAGATCTGTCTAAAATGCTGTCGTCGTGGGTGAGTCCATGCAGCATCTTTCTGTGCTAATTTTCACAGGCATTGGAGCAAAGAGGGCAAAGTAACTCCTCTGTTAATGAAAAAGCTGCATAAATCTGATTAGCATAGTTCATGGTCATGCTAGTTAACTAATTTATTATTATACAGTCAGAATTAAAACAATTTAAATGTACTCTGGACATTGCTTGTTGATTAAAAACATCCAGATTTCAATAAGTCTGAAAAGACTTTGAAAATATTCTATTTTAGTGTGTATGGGAGTAAATTTAAGGGTAAGATAGGTAACTTAATTGCCTGTTATTGGGGGGTGGAATTGAATAATAAGTGAATAATGATTGAGCCTCAAAAAAACATGGAAGACTGGACAGAGAGCTCAAAGCTTAGAAGAAATGGGTTCATTTTTTTGGTCAGAATGCCAATCAAATAAATAAATAAATAAGATAAAGTGTTTTCACCAAATCCACTTTTAGGACAGAAGCCTGCAGAAGGTCACCTACCGATGGAATGTCCTATTTTAGGATCAATGGAAGAGAATGTTATGAGAGAGGAAAGAGTGGGGTTGATGGGATACCTGTGACATTTTCTTCAGAATCAGACTAATTTTAATAATTCTGCAATTATTAGGAGATTGAAAATCTATATATTTAATATTAAACTAACAATTTGCTAGACCATTTTAACCACTTGTGTTATCTTCTGTTTAGCTTTTCGTGACTCAAGTATTTTAGCGTTTCTTTGTTTCGTTTTGTGTTTTGGTGACAAGTTTGTCAAAACAGTGTACGCAGGTAGAGGGGAAAAGTTGAGCCTCTCCTCTTCATTCCCCTAGTCCTACCCTGGAATGTGACCTAATGTAACTGTTGTAACTTCCTCTTTTTTCTTTGTTTGTTTATTTGTTTTTTGGTACCAGGTATTAAACCCCACTGAGATACATCCCTGGCCCTTTTTATTTATTTATTTTTAAATTTTGAGACAGTGTCTCACTAAGTTGCCTAGGGCTTCGCTTAATTGCTGAGGCTGGCTTTGAATTTGGCATCCTCCTGCCTCAGCCTCCCGAGCTGCTTGGATTACAGGCTTGAACTGCCATATTTGGCCTTAACTGTTTGTTTTTGTTTAACAAAAATAGGAACTGTGTTCTACAATTTTTTTACAACTTGTTCTTTTGTTTGGACATCTTGGATGTCACTCTAGGTCAGTGGTTTGTCAACTGGGAATGATTTTCGCTTTCCAGAAGGCAATGTCTAGAGATGCTTATTATCATACATATGTGGGAAAGGAGGTTTCTCTGAGCATCTAGAGGGTAGAGGCTGAGGATACTGCTGAAGCACCCAATGCACAGCATGAGCCCCACAACAAAAATTAAAATTATCTGATCCAAAATGTGAATGGAGCTAAGACTGAGAAAGTCTGCCCTAGGTCAATATGCATAAATCTAATTCATTATTTTTAAAAGCTTCATAATACTTTGTAGTACAGTAGAACATAATTCAAGTAGCCCTTTGATACTGCTTCTTATTTAGTAGCATTTGTATGTTTAACATGAAGAAATTTAGTTTTTAACAATTTATTCTGCTTCTTTAAAGAGCAAAAATAAGCCTTCTCAGAAGGACTCGAAAGAGGGACCAAGAATTCATAGGCTTGTGTATAAAATTAGATTCTGGGTCACCGAGAGTCAAGAAAATTTGGTTTCAGTAAAATCACAGACTCACTCTAAATGACAAGTCTTGAAGTCATTCGAAAAGCATGTCTTCATATTTTGATTCGTTGGAATTAAAAAAGACAAGAGAGAAAAAGAAGCAATAATAACTCTAAAGCCTTTTGTACAACTCCCCAGAGCAGAGAAGGCTACTTTTGAAGTCACTGATACCACTTTCAGAGAAAACTAAATTCTGATGATCTCTACCTTCTCTTTCCACATTAAAAAAAAAAATCCATTAGTACATTAAATCATGGTGGCATTGAACAAAAGAAACAAAGTAGGTTTAAGTGAAAAAAAAAAAAAAACTGGTATCTGATCCGAAAGACATGAAATGACTTCCAGATGCCATTGACATGTACCCAGCATCGGAATGCCCCTTTGGCTCACCGAGGGGGTTGCAAAGACAGGATGCCCTGCAGCAGACACGTGTTGTTCTGTGAAAGCAAAGCTCTGTGTTTCCTCTCTGTGTGTCCCTGCATTCCTTGAAGGACTGACTCTCCTTGACTCACAGAGCTGAGTGGAGGGAAATGGAATCAACTGCGCTGTGTGCACCAGTTGGTGAGCCCAGAAGGGCTGGGTCCCTGTTTCTGCCTTTCCCTCCTTGACCAGCAAGAATTTCATCTTTCCTTTTACTGATAGTCTTTAAAAAAAAAAAAAAAGTCATCCCAAGACAGTGTGCAGTCAAACAGCCTGCACTGGATATTTGGCGTATTTGGGTTTTGTGCTCCTGAGCTTATGATGACCTGGCAGGAGTCTTTCTATTTACTTAATTCATACAGAATATCATCCTGCAATCGTCCAACCTGTCAAAATTGCAACAGGTTGGATCTAAGAAGCTGATAACTTTATGCGTTTGTGGATATTTGGGGAAACTAAAAGTCTTTTTCCGCCCTTGCCATTGCTGTTGTAGGATCAGAGCCACACACAAGTCTCTCAGTACCGCCAGGACCCCTCCCTGATCATGAGGTCCATCGTCCACATGACTGATGCTGCGCGATCGGGGATCATGCCTCCTGCCCAGCTCACCACCATCAACCAGTCCCAGCTCAGTGCCCAGCTGGGCTTGAATTTGGGAGGAGCCAGCATGCCCCATACATCTCCTTCACCTCCAGCAAGCAAATCGGCCACGCCCTCGCCTTCCAGCTCCATCAATGAGGAGGATGCGGAGGAAGCCAGCAGAGTAAGTTAGAGCTGTCAACCCCCAGAGAATGCGCCTTGCCCCCTATCTCTGGCTGTGAATTTCATTCCTGGTCTAACCCTTGTTTCCTCATGGATTTGGAGTCACATTTAAGTTTATGCTAGTTAAATATTTTTTTCCCCTCTTATTTATTTTTTTTTCACTAGAAAGGGTATGAACTGAAAATTGGGAGATGTGGTTTCTCTGAGTTGTAAGCCGTGGGACAAGTTCATTTAACCCTTGTAAACTTAATTTTCATAATCTGCAAAAGGGAGGGTCTGTACTCCTTTTCCAGAAACTTCTAGAAATTCTAGACTTTGCAAAAATGGGAACTGCTCTGGTTTTCACTGAATGTTCCAAGGGACAAGTTTCATCCAGTTCTTTGGCTGTACCTCTGCCACTTTTGACAGCTTTGCATCTTCAGTGATGTTTATCTCTTAGTAAATTCTGATCATTCACATCTTTATTTTTATCATGGGAAGCATATTTTTTAAGAATATAGATGATTGCACTTATGACTTTTTAGATTGCCCGGAATTAATCCCTTTTTTTTTTTTTTTGGTACTGGGGATTGAACCCAGGTGCATTTTACCACTGAGCTACAACACCAGTCCTGATCTTTATTTTGAGACAGGGTCTCATTAATTTGCTGAGGGTCTTGGTAAGTTGACAAGGCTGGCCTCTAACACGTGTTCTTCCTGCCTCAGCCTCTTGAGTCACTGGAATTACAGGAATGTACTACCTACCATACCTGGCTAGTACGAATAACTTCAATATAAAGAATACTGTAATAAAACACAGCTACTCTTTACTTTTTTTATGAATTCTGGGTTGTACACCTACTCTGTACTTGACATTTTACTTGGTTCATTTTACTTGATAAAAAGATTTATAAGAGAATTACTGCCCGAGGGACTCCCCACGGAGGAGGAATAGCAATGTTTAAAACTAACTCCAGATGCGATTAAGGGTATAATTGATGTATCTGGTGTGCTGGGATTATAATCGATTCTGCTTGGGAGAGTGATTTGAGGAAGCCTTTATTGAGAAGGTTGTATTTGAATGAAGTCTAAGAGGATGCATAAAAGTTTGTGAGGCAGAAGAAAGAGGCCAGCATTCTGGTAGCAGGAACAGTGAGAAGCAAAGGAAAGTACATGTGAATTTATTAGTATCATGAACTTTGATGTGGGGGAGGGGAGAAACAGAAGAAAGAAATGGCATAAATGTGGTGGCTGAGAGCTGATTAATTATTTGCACAGAGGAATGGCCTAAGCAAATTGATGCTTTAAGAGGGTAATTTTTGGCAACAGATAGAATGCATTACAAAGGGAGGAATCAGAGAAAAGAAAATCCATTAGAAGATTTTTGTTGGTTTGTTTTCTTTCATCAAAGAGCAGATTGGGCAGAAGGTGCCCAATTAATGAGACATTTAACAGAGATTCATTAAGATTCAGTGATTCCCTAGAATTTGAAGAAGAGATGAATTGAGTTTTAGTTTGAGAGACCGCATGACTACCTGTAAATGATAGGATCCACCTAGAAAGAGAAGTGTCCCCACCCCCAAGGGCAGGATGAGTTTGGCATGTAATGGTTGAATTTAGGTGCTTATATTTGAGTCTAGAGCTCACTTCATTGATCTGGAACTATAGATTGGGGAACCATCAGCCCATAGATGTGAGGACATGGAAGTAATCAGGATTTCTTAGAAAGGGTAAGGAGCAAGTCAAGGCAGAACTTTGAAAGCATCATTTACTTTAAGTAGTAAAATAATAAAAATAATAAAATAATGAAAAGCACTTTGAGAGAAAGAGAGAGAGAGAGAGAGGAAGGCACAGAAACCAAAGGGACTTCAAGATGAAGGATTTGGTCTCAAATTAGCTCTGCATTGAGCTCAGGGTTGGCAGATGCAGGGTTGGTAATACTCACACTCACAAGGACTTCACTGTGGTGAAGTGAGAAATAAAGAAACTCAAGGGACATAAGACACAGCTTGGTGACAGCTGGTCATTACATATCAAGGTGGAGTCCTTGCACTGAATGCCCATGTCCACTGATCAGACTTACCTTTGTACCAAATTGAAATCATCACATCTAAGGAGAACCTTCCACGTCACTCCTATCTTGCTCCATTTTAAGTAAGGGACTCAGTTTTATGTGAAAGCATCTCGGTTTCCAATTTTTTCCCTTTTAAATAACAGTTGAAAAAGGAGGATTAAAATGATGGTTAATTATGTCTCTTTGGGGGTAAAGCCATTTTTTCAGCCTTCCCAGCCCTTTAAATTCAACTACACAAAAGTTTCTCCAGGAAAATTAATTCTGAAAGTTTATTTAAACAGTGGGACTATTTCATTTTTGGTTTATTCTTAAAAAGGTAATAATAGCTAAGGCAAGTTACAGTTTTACAAGAGAAGCATCAGAGGTTGTCGACATTTATACCTTGTTTTAAAGAGAATAAAATTGAACTTCTCTCGTTTGGGAAAAAAACCAAAACAAAACAGAAAACTGCACTATAAATTATCTCATTGGTCAGGGTACTTACTTTTGGCACAAACGGTACCAAATTTTCTTCCAGAAAAAGAATATAGTTGTTTGACTCAATTAGAAAAATATGAGCGGATCTATATTTTGTTTTTCTTGTTGCTACAGTAATGTTTTCATTGAAGGAGAACTTGGCTCCAATTCAAGCTGTAGTTGAAGGATATGGGTTCCTTTGAGTGGAATTAAACAAGTCTCACTCACTCTTGAGATTTTAGAAAAAAAGACAATGAATGGGGTCTACAGATTTATTGAATTGTGTGAGTTATGAAAAATGGCATCTTGAAGGGGAGGTGAGATAAGATTTAACACCCTCTGAAGCATTTTAACTACCTGTCAACTGGGGTGGGTGTTATTACTCCAATGGCACAAATCTAGAAGGTGGCCAGTGGTTTCTTAACTTTCGAAGGTTCAGAGCTCTCAAAAAATCTACATATCAGTTTCCTCTCTTAAGAATTTTAGTAATTGGATTAAGTTTCAAATGACCCTCATTCAGAAAGTAATAATACTCTAGGAATATTTGAATTAGGATTCAAGGCCATTAAAAGCCAATCTGTTAGTAACTTTTATCTATCTCAGCTGATCTTGCCCAAGGCTGGCTTTTAAAACAGAATTTGTCAAACACTTCAGGATTCTTGATGAAATTAACCGAAAATTGTTTTCAACATAATAGTACTGTAATCGAGGAGAAGAAAAAACCCAAGGTTGATAAATCATTTCCTTTATGATCAATATGATCAATAAAAATAGATGGTAAAAAGTGAATATGAAGCTTAGTAGTTTGTAAATTGTGGGGGGAGGGAGGTGGAATCTATGGATCTATACTGTATCATTTCCATGGTCTTAACTTCAGAATTCATAATGTGAATCAATACCTGTGAGTCTTTATGGCAATTAACTTGCGGATCAAGTTACTTACCACATATAATAAATATCTTCTTATTAGTCCTCTAGTTAGTCTTGGTGAATTTAAGCATCAACTGTGGTTCTTTTACAGGTTTTTTAATTTTATGGAGAATATTAATTTCTTTTTTATCTCCAGTTAAAGTGGTTTTGACATTTTTACATTTCTTGTTATCCTGTCTTTTAGAAAGTTATTGTTATTTTAGAAAATAAAGATGACCTTTCCTTTACTGTGCCAGTGTAGTGATTACAGCTTCTTTCTCTTTTGAGTTTCCAGAGACTCATTAGCAAAGTAACATTCTGGAAAAATTAAAAAAAAAAATCAAGCTTAAAAAAAATCAATTAAGACCGATCATACATATGGCATATGATTGTGGCAAGGGACCTCGTTTAAAATACCTGAATGTGATCGACATCCAGGATGTTGTTAGGTTTTACTGCTAAAATCCCTGAAAGTGTAAAATATTTTGCTTGTGTGTGCATAAGCATACACCTATAGTATTGCTTGGAATAGTGTTCTGTTTTTCATTGCTCATAATTGCTATTTAGAGCATATGCTGTGAATGTATTGAAGATACTTCTGGGTCTCATTAATCAGTGTTCTAAATGCTAATCTCTGCTGTCCAGTTAACTCTAAGCAAATTCGCCCCTCCCCCGCTTTTGGTGGTGATTCATCTGTTGATGATGCTTAACAAAACCTTCAAAGAACAATTGTGGATCTGAGCAAGTCTCGCTGTATTCTCTGCAAGTACATTCTAGGCAGTGAATTTTCTTCCCGCTTTGCAGGCCATTGGAGAGAAAAGAGCCGCTCCAGATTCTGGCAAGAAGCCCAAGACTCCAAAGAAAAAGAAAAAGAAAGATCCCAATGAGCCGCAGAAGCCAGTATCAGCATATGCCCTGTTTTTCAGAGACACACAGGCTGCAATTAAAGGTCAAAACCCCAATGCAACCTTCGGAGAGGTCTCAAAAATCGTCGCGTCTATGTGGGACAGTCTTGGAGAAGAGCAGAAGCAGGTGAGGCAAAGATCTGAAGTTACCAGGATATTCCCCATGTATTTTCTGAGTGCATCCATTCCATTAATATGATTGCTTCTTATGAAAGCCTTTCTAAGCTATGGCATTAAAACACATGCATATAAATCCAAGCAACTCTCTAGTTACATCGATTTCTCAGTCAGTTTAAGGGTGCATGTTCAGAATCCGGTCACAGGAGGGTTGGAAGAAATCCAGGCAGTAGCCTGCAAGCATCAACTTTTGATGATAATCTTTTCATTTTAAATAATGTGGAATTTTTTTCCCCCCTTTGTTCAAAAAGGGCCCTACAAAGGGATTAGGTCCATCCTGCTTGCCTTCCCATTGATCATCTTTCTGAACCCTTGTGCTATCCTGGTGGGTTTCCAAACTTTGAAGCTGCCTCTGCATGTCTCATTATTGTCACTGGGCATTTGAAATTTTATTCCAAGTTCATTTTAAAGCTAGGCAGTGTGAGAGGTATTCAGAGATTAGCCATGCTGGTGGGAGATACTTCCTTAGGGGCCTAGCCTCCTCTCCTTCCCCTCAAAACGACTCCACAGGAACGAAGAAAAGAACGGGTTCCTTGGGGGCTGGTCCTCCCCTTGCTCCTTGCATGAAACCTAATTACCATTAATAGGAGTCAACTTTTATATCGTCACAGAAGAATAGACCCTTATTAGTGATAAAACAGAATAATTGTTTCAGGAATGAAGAGTGGAAAACTTGGGATTTTTTTTTTTAAGGAATCATGAACTCATTTCCGGTGGCTAGTTCATTGAGAGGGTGCAAGTATTGAAATTCCCTGTTTGTTTGCCATGAGCTCATCACCTGTACAGAGGACTGATTTTCTGTCCCCTAAGTGGAGTTCTAAGGAACTGGCAAACCGAACTTTCATGCTCTGGAGAGAAAAAATAGTTGCATTTTGGTCTACCACCTAGCCATCAGACAATTTCATAAAAGGAAGCCCAAATCATACTTAATAGACTGGGATTTAATTATGTAATTCATTGATCTCACTAATGGAAATCTCCCACCTTTTATTATTTCTGACTTAATTTTTTATTGTTGTTTTTCCTCTCCCAAAGAAACCAAGTTTGAAAGGTCTCCATCTCTTCTCTTTGTTCTTCACAAATTCTACCGTTTATTTGTTTGTGGTACTGGGAATTGAACCTAGGGACACTTAACCATGAAGCCACACCCCCAGCCCTTTTTTTGTATTTTATTTAGGAACAAGGTCTCACTGAGTTCTTTAGTGCCTCACTAACTTGCTGAGGCTGGCTTTGAACTCATGATCCTCCTGCCTTAGCCTCCCAAACGTCTGAGGTTACAGGCGTGTGCCACCATGCCTGCCTGGCTGTTGTTTGTTTTTAATACTCTGATTTGATTTCCCTTGCAGTTAAAACATGCAAGGGAAAGAAGACACAGATAGAGAAGCTTGTTATTTACTAGAATTTAAGCTATTTGTGGCAAAGCTGGTTATTTGCTGCCTTAGCATGAGGCCTTCAGCTCTGAAGGCATCTCTCTGTGGCAACCCCAGATCTTTTCCCTCATTCTTAGAATAAACATCCCAGTTGTGCTGCAGTGCTGAGGACAAGGTTTGGTGTGTTTTTAATATCCACGTGCTTGTGGGTAACATTTAAAAATCAAAGGACGAGGAGACCAAACTTTGTAGGTGAGTGATGTTTATGCGACCTAATTTGCGTGGCTGTTATTTTAATAGCTGAGAGTTTATAAGCTAAAGGCAGTGCTAACTGTTGTCTTTTAATAGGTATATAAAAGGAAAACAGAAGCTGCCAAAAAGGAATACCTGAAGGCCCTGGCTGCATACAGGGCCAGCCTTGTTTCTAAGGTAAGCCTGTGTTCAGGGTGGGAAGCAGCCCTCCGGCCTCAGAAACACAGGTGTGACTCCCCGGAGAGCTGATGAAAAGTATCTGAGCATCTTAACCTTGATCTCATCAGAGATCAGCTGAATGAGGACAGGAGCAGTAGGACTTCATGTAGGCTGCTGGATCTGAAATGTTGCTAGAAGGTTCACAGATCGGTATGCAGGTGTACGGTATGCAGGTGTACGTGGCCACACAAATACAAATCTTCAATAGCCTTTAACTCTTTCCTTGTGTCGGGGATTGAAATCTGTCTTAATGTCCTCGATTTAAAACTGGGAGGTGATTTTGTCAGGCAAATTTATGCTATGGAAGACCATATCATAAATTCTTCAGTGGTTACATTATCCTCTTAGGCAATGGTGCCTTTTTTTTTTTTTTTTTTTTTACTTTTTGTGGTACTGGGGATGGAACCCATGGCCTTGTGCATGGGAGGCAAGCACTCTACCAACTGAGCTATATCCCCAGCCCACAATGGTGCATTTTTAATATTTTTTTATTTGTTCTTCTTAGTTACGCATGAGAGTAGAATGTATTTTCACATATCATATGTACATGGAATATAACTTCCCATTCTTGTGTTGTCCAGGATGTGTAGTTAAACTGGTCCTATATTCATATACGAACATAGGAAAGTTATGTCCGATTCATTCTACTGTCTTTCTCATTTCCATCTCCCTCTTCCATCCCCCCACTTTGCCTTGCCCAATCCCGTGAACCCCCACCTCCACCCCACCTATTTTGAGTTAGCATCTACATATGAGAGAGAACATTTGGCCTTTGGTTTTTTGGGATTGGCTTATTTTATTTAGCATGGTAACTCTCCAGTTCCATCCATTTACCAGAAAATGCCATAATGTCATTTGTCTTTATGGCTGAGTAATATTCCATTGTGTATATGTGCCACGTTTTCTTTATCCATTCATCTGTTGAAGGGCATCTATGGAACCATCCTAGATGGTTGGCTATTGTGAATTGAGCTGCTATAGACATTGATGTGGCTGCGTCACTGTAGTATGCTGATTTTAAGTCCTTTGGATATATACTGAGGAGTGGGATAACTGGGTCAAATGGTGGTTTCATTCCAAGTCTTTTGAGGAATTTTCATACTGCTTTCCAGAGTGGTTGCACCACTTTGCAGTCCCATCAACAATGTATGAGTATAAAATAGTCTATTTTTGACCAAACTGTTCCAAATGATATAAACAAATAAACCTCATGATTATTAAAATAAATAAAAAATAAATATTCCAAGTACTAAGACAAAGCATGTGTATTACACATAGACTATACAATGGACACTGATGTATTACACAATTCCAAGGCAAATGCCACTCTAGTTGATTGTTACCTTGATCCAAAAGGAGTGTGAGCTGTGCTGTTTATTTATTTATTTATTATTTTGCCGAGCTGGGGATTGAACCCAGGACCTCATGCATGCTAAGTAAATGCTCTTACCACTGAGCTATGCCCCCAGCCCTGAGCTGTTTGTATCATTTTAATATTTAATTACATGTCTTTGCCTAGAATTTAGATGGGCTTTGGAGAGGATAGTTTGAACTAATGTTTTTGCTGTGGATATATTTCTTCTGGGAAGTCAAGATGCCATTTCATTGTCAGTGTTGTCTCAGGTACAACAGAGGACCTTGGAGCCCGTGTGAAAGGGTTTACTGCCTTTCTCTTTTTCACCTGAGTATTTTTTCTTTACACTGAGATTTGCTGGGCGGGGGGCGGGGTGGGGGGTGAGCAAGGGCGGTGGAATGTGATGGACATCATTATCCAAAGTGCATGTATGAAGACACAGATTAGTGTGAACATACTTTATATACAACCAGAGATATGAAAAAGTGTGCTGTATATGTGTAATAAGAATTGTAATGCATTCTGCTATCATTTATTTTTTAAAAATCAATTAAAATTAAAAACAAATAAATAAATAAAATTAAAATTCCCAGGGTTGGGGGGAGATTTCCCGGGCTGGGGTTGTAGCTCAGTGGTGGAGCGCTTGCCTTGTATGTGTGAGCCACTGGGTTCCCTCTCAGCACCACATAACATAATAAATAAGTAAGTAAATAAATAAATAAAGTCCATCTACAACTAAAAATATATTAAAAAAAAAAAAAAAAGATTTGCCCCTGGCAGCTGCTCGGAATCGGATCCACAGGGGTCCTCCTGCCTTTGTTGACAGCTCTCAGGACACTTCCCACTTTGTTAGAAAGAGGAAACATTTATTGAGTCAATAGCAAAACCATTTTCTGAGGCTCTGGAAGACACATGCTGGGAAATATACTGATTCTGTACTCAGATTTGCACACTGCTCGAAAACTCTGTGAGCTACAGGTGTTCACACTGGAGGTAGAGGTGGTTAATGAGTTGGGAGTGCAGGGAAGAGCCGTACTTCTTCAGTAGATCATTTATTCATTCATTTACCCAGAAGCAGGTACAAGTAATCTTTGTGCATTAAAGCATGAATAATGGGCCATACAATGATTGAAGCCAAGAACCAGTTTCTCAGATAGCTGACGAACTTAGAAGGCATAACTCAAAAGTGATACATTGTAGCATGCTGCTATGATGTATAACTAATTAGAACAAATTTTTTAAAAAGTGATAATTGGATTAAGATCAGGATCCAGAGGTATTTCCTGATGGACTTCAATGACCCCCCCCCCAAACCCAATGGGACAGAATTTTTAAAAGAGTAAACCTTAAAATACTGTTTCATTTTTTAACTCAGTAGATGCTATTTGGGAGGATCCTAAATCTATACTCAGAGACCTAACATACTCCTTGAGGTATAAGCTTAAATAATTTCCTCCTGAACCCAAAGTGTGAAAGAGCTGCCAATACTGTGATCTCAGAGGAGGCAGCTTCTAGTTGCACAGAGTGATGATTAGACCACCACCAGAACTGGCTGATTTGGAACCCATAATTTAAAGAGATGGGGACCCATCGAGGCTGTCCAGCGTGTTGCCTACATGCTTGTGAAGACTGAAAATCAAATCCTAGTAGAAAAATTAAAAGAATCAAGAGACAAGAAATTGGACACATATGATTTTAGTTCTCAAATATAAGAGCCACGATGTAAGGGGAGCTAATTGAGATTTCCATGTCTTAGACAGACTACTCATCCAAGGGGTGAAATAACCCCGAGCAGGATCTCATCCTCATGGTTACAGGTAACATAGGGGGTGCATCATATTCCCATTTACTGGACACCTCTGTGTGAAAGAACCTGGAATTTCCTTCCTTAAGTCATGACCCCACCGTCACTTTTCATCTTCCAGGAAATTAAGAAAAGCTCACTATTAAACCATAGGAGGTAAATGTGGCAAGACAGGAACTCTACAATCACCCACCCAGCTCCACTTACTATCAAGATGGCCGCTGTTAAAAGCATAATGATGCAATTGCCCATGTAGACTTTCCTGTGGTTTCTTCCTTGAGACTACCTTGGTGATTTTCCAACATTAGAGTATATATGATCTATATATGCATATTTATATGTACAAAATTGTGTATACTTTGTGGGTCATGAGGTTTTTTTAAAGACAATTTTGAATATTTATAGCCATTATCTTACCCTAAGTCTTCAAAATGGGACCCTCTAGTAGCAGGTAGTCATTCTGGGTTTTCATAAGGCAGGGAGTTGTTCACAGAGGGATGGTACTTTACAGTGACAATTTTGTGTTCAATCAGAAGCCCTCAGAAATGACTTTGTCTACTTGGGGGACTCCTTGTAAGGTGACTCAGGTTTCTTCTAATAGCAGGGTTTTATCATTGGAGTCATAAAAGCTATAAGTACTTTAAATCATGAAAGATACTAGACGGCCACTTGATGTCTCCAAAGTGCCCCCTGCTCCTTCCTTCTCAAAAGACACCTCTAATTTTGTGGAACAAAAGAAGAAAGAAAATAGTCTTTAAGATGAAGTATTCCAATCACTATTGCATTTGTAAAATAATTTACCCTTGTGGAAGTAATTAGTGTATTTTTAGCACAGAATAGGTTTCCATGTTGGACCACAGATTTTTCATGTGTCATTAAGAGATTGTTCAGGCATGGGAAGGTTGAACATTCTTCTCTTATCCTTTGATAAATTCTGGAGATCTTCACCATGGCTAGTCAGGCATGGTGGCACATGTCTGTAATCCCAGCAGCTCAGGAGACTGAAGCAGGAATTCAAAGCCAGCCTCAGCAACTTGGCAAGGACGTAAGCAACTTAGCAAGATCTGTCTCAAAAAAACAAAATTGAAAAAGGTTGGGGATGTGGTTCAGTGTCGAAGCACACTTGGGTTCAATCCCCAGTACCCAAAAAAATCACAGTTGGTAAACCAAAAACATTTCTAAAGTTGTAAAGGACTTCAGTTTAGTATCTCAGAGTAATCTAATTATGTTTTCTTATAGTCAAGTGAGCACTGCATAAATAATTATGAAAACACAGGGTTTTGAAGCTTTCTAGTAGTGGTAGTTTTCTGGTGGTAGTAGTTGTTAATTGATGAAAATACATAACATTTATCAAGTGCTTCTCAAGGGCCAGGCACTGTTCTAAATGCTTAACACATGAGCTCATTTAATTCCCATAACCTCTGTATAAGGTCAATGCCCTATAATTCCATGTTATAGATGAGGAAGCTCAAGAATAGGTGGATGAATTAAATGGCCCAAAGATACAAAATTGTTCAGTAGCAGAGCTGGATTTGAACCCAGGCAGTCTGCGCTTGATTGTTTTTCAACGTATGGTACCTCAGTGGCGAGGTTAGTATGGGCTTAAATGCTGAAGAATTAGTATTTTTAAAAACCTGTACCAGTCATCTTTTGTTACGCAGTAGTGTTGTGTAACTACCAACCACAAAGCACAGTGACTTATAAAAGAAGCACTTATCTCTGAGCCAGCCAGTTAGCTGGTTGGTTCTTCAGATCCAGCCCCGCTCCTCTATCTGGGGTCAGCTCACAGGTTGTTGGGGAGGTGGCTGGAGTCACTTGCATGCCTGTAGTTGGCTGGCTGGCAGTGAGTGGGCTCTTGAGGGGGGCATTTGGGTCATGTGTCTGGCCTGCACGTGGTGCTGATAGGTTGCAAGAGAGTGAGTGGAAGGGTGCACGGTTGGATAGTGTCTCTTTCATTCTAGTGACCAAAGCAAAGGCACAAGGGCAGCTTTGACTCAAGAAGGTGGAGAATTTGACTGTGTCCCAGAAGAGCTAAATAGTCACATGACAAAGGCCATGGAGATAGGAAGGCATGAATAATGGTGGCTGTCATTGAAGTCAATTTATAATGCTTAAAAATATGTAGGTACTCCACATACTTGTAGATCATAACATTCTGGAATTTTCTTCCCCCAAATTCAGGCTGCCGCTGAGTCAGCAGAAGCCCAGACCATTCGTTCTGTTCAGCAGACCCTGGCGTCGACCAATCTGACTTCCTCCCTCCTTCTCAACACTCCGCTGGCTCAACATGGAACGGTACCAGCCTCACCTCAGACTCTCTCACAGTCGCTCCCTAGGTCAATTGCTCCCAAACCCTTAACCATGAGACTCCCCATGAACCAGATTGTCACATCGGTCACCATCGCGGCCAACATGCCCTCGAACATTGGGGCTCCGCTGATAAGCTCCATGGGGACCACCATGGTTGGCTCAGCAACCTCCACCCAAGTGAGCCCTTCGGTGCAAACCCAACAGCATCAGATGCAATTGCAGCAGCAGCAACAGCAGCAGCAGCAGCAACAGATGCAACAGATGCAGCAGCAGCAACTCCAGCAGCACCAAATGCATCAGCAGATCCAGCAGCAGATGCAGCAGCAGCATTTTCAGCACCACATGCAGCAGCACCTGCAGCAGCAGCAGCAGCAGCAGCATCTCCAGCAGCAAATCAACCAACAGCAGCTGCAGCAGCAGCTGCAGCAGCACATCCAGCTGCAGCAGCTGCAACACATGCAGCACCAGTCTCAGCCTTCTCCCCGGCAGCACTCTCCTGTCACCTCTCAGATCACATCCCCCATCCCTGCCATCGGGAGCCCCCAGCCGGCCTCTCAGCAGCACCAGTCGCAAATCCAGTCTCAGACACAGACTCAAGTATTGTCACAGGTCAGTATTTTCTGAAGATGCACGCGGCAGGTGGATTTGCGTGCGGAGGAGAGCGACACAGGAGGGGAAGGCACACGGGGCTGGAACGAGTAAGCTGGTGTTGGTTATGCAGAAATGTGTAACAGATCAAACGGTCCTCTCAAGCGTCTATTAGATAGGCAATAAGAACTACAGTGTAGCTGGGTACCACCTCTTAGCTGACTATCAATCACTTCGTTTTTAAACAAGGAAAGCTGTGCTCTTTTATGTGATGCCTTTTTTTATTTATTCAGGCTATACCTACAATATGTGAATCAAACCGTTTAATGAATCCTGGGACATTGCTGATGACTATAAACTGGCCTCTCTGAGTCATAGAAAATGGCCTTATTTCTCCAGAAGTGAGTTAACCACACTTCCAGGCTGTTTGAACTTCCGAAGCCCTAAAAATAAAATAAAAATAAAAAGCACAGTTGTAACTACCTGAAATATGAAGATCCAGTTTCATACAAACATTTGTATGATGTAAATCGTTGATGGCATTTTTTTGTCATGAAAAAAAATAATAATAATGTAAATCACAGACTTTTGCCAAAGCTCTTATTTTTTTTTCCTAAATCTCTCCAGAAAAAAAAATGCAAGAGATTAAATTCAATTATTGACTCATTTCCACTTTTTATCCAGGACTTCTCCAAATCAAGCCACAGTATATGTTGTAACAATATCTATGACCACTGTTAGCCCATCCTATTCATTGCAATTAGAAGAAAAGAAATGTGAAAACTATATTCCGTGTTTTGAGTGACAAGTTTCGAAAAATAAAAACACTGTATTTTTAAAAGGGAAATGCACTTAAATGAAAACAGTTATTACAAAAGTTAAGATTTAAAAAGAAAAAAAGCAAGAGTTTTTATTATGATGTAATACCGGTAGAATATTTAAAAGGCACACTACATCTGAATAATCAATGTAAATATTTTCTTTCAAAGTTGTAAGTTTTCATATCATGTGTTGTAAAGTTTTCCTAAATGAGGCTTTAACGTAAACACTGGTGACATAAACCATTCATTGCTACGTTGCTTATTGTGTTTTTATGCTGTTTTATACTTTTTTATGAGTTACGATAGCAGCGATTAAGTTGTTTGTATTTTGCTTAAACTGAAACAAAATGCTTTTATCTTGCTATAGAATAAACACATTTCAGTAAAAACTGTGGACTGTATTTTGATGCAACAACGAGGAAACTGTTCACTTTTCAAATAAAATGCTATGTCAAATTTCACTTTCGTTTCCTTGAATACATATAAGATGGGGAAATAGGGCACGTGCCCCATTAATTTGCACCCCAGCTTCGTCTTTTCATTTTCATTTGGAAACGTGATATTCGTGGCTAAGAATTCTGATTGATCAGGCTAAAACCGGAGTCCTTAAAAAGTACTGGAAATATCTTTATAATATTCTTTTTGTTAAGATGCAGGTACAAGGTAAATAGAGAAAAGCAATCATCTTCTCTTTTGGGGCCACAACTATCTGGCACGGCGTGGTTATTGCTATTAAAATGGATGGTGAATGCTAATTTTAAAGCCAAAATAATTATTTCAGTGCCCATTTCTTCCCCCTCTTTTTTGCTCTATGGTGGCTTCTCTTTGAGAGCCGTGTGACCACTATCCCCAGTTGTCTTGCATGATTAATTACAGCATCTGTCCTGTCAGAAGCTATAATGAAGAGGTCTTGATAAAAATTGCAAATTACCACTGGCAACAGTCTTAAACTGCTTATGATAAAATGAAAATTAAAAACAGCAAGTGTCAACCCTGACCAGAATCCTAATCTGGAAAAATGAGGGTGTGTGTGTGTGGTGCTGTCCAGAGATACTGTGTGCAAGACATTCAAAAATAATAGGATATGGATTCCTCAAAGTTGTTGTATTTCAAAGAATATTTACTGTATGTTGTGGGTTATGAATAATGAATTCAGCTTTCAATATTTCATAATCCTTGCGTACTCTGTATTATGTACAAATATTGAACAGCAAGAGATTCTAATTATAAATTTATAGATTTCTTGCCGTAGAAAAATTTATGTCTAAATTGAAGCTTTTCATAAGATGTATTAGTTGACAGGTATCCGTGTTCAAACAGTCTCAGGAAGATGCCTAATCACATCTACAAGGGGGCTTTCTGTTCCACAAAGAAATACATCAGACCCATCAGAAGCAGAGCTGATGGTAAAAGATTTTCTGTGAATTGAAACTAACATTACATAACAATAAGAACCATTTTATATTCTGTTGTGAAACCTTTAGACAAATGTCTTCAAAATTAATTGCTAAACTACATGTGACAGTAATTGTGTATTAGTTCTATAATTGTCATTTTGAAAACCCATGAAGTATTGCTTGGAAAAAAATGTCACTAGTGATAAGACTTAATTGCAAGTGAAGTCTGTTTTCAACTGTTTGCAGTTAGAGGCAGGTGTTGTAACATCTATTAAATGATTTTATAAATCTTAGGTTTTATCACATTTGATTAAATGCTGCTAAGCCACTGACGGTCAATTCCAGGGGAAAAAAAGAGAAAAAAATAAATAAACCAATACTTTAATTACTACAGTTTTAAAAATTAATCACCAGGCGAAATTATGTATTTAAAATGTCAAAAGGCTTGAATCATGAAAACAATCTTCCAACCTTTTTACCAAATTATTTTTCTCAGATTCACAAAAGCATATTATGAATCGACTAGTATTTTAATTTATGCATGAAACTGGTTTCTATTCCTGAGATTTAAGTAAGTCCTGGTGTACTTTTTCTTTTTTCTTTTTCCAGTTACAGATCAGAAATAAATCAGGGTAATGAAACAGAGGCATGAGAAATGTGGTATCTGATTGGTATAGACCTCTTAAGTGGTATGTGGTATATAGACATTAAGGGATCTCTCCTCTCCCTTGTCACCTCCATCTCACGAGTACCTTGCCTCTCCCCTGCAGTGGGGACATTATTTTATTACTCTTGGCTAAACATGTTCTTTTTGCATTAACCTGTACTGCCGTATGATGAAAGAACATAAGGAGTTTTCATTTTTAGCTGACACGGGGTCATTAGTTCCCGACTCAAAGAACAAAAGCTTAAATGCCTTCGTGCAGCATAATTTCTGCAATGTATTACCACCTGATGGAGGTTCAAAGGCTTTCTAGACAGATGGATTAATATCTCAAGTTTAAGTAGGAGTCCTCCGCTGTGTCCATTCAGCGGACTTTAGACATCTGAATGGTTTCTTTCCCATTTCTCACTTCATGGAACATTTTTCAGCACTGGACTTCAATCTAACCTTTCCTCCTTCCCCCTCCCCAACCCCCTTTGTTTGGCTTTTGTTTTGCAACAGCTGTTATTATCGTTTTTGGTCAGCTGTGATTGCTGGAGGCAAAATAGGACCAGATGGTGTTTTGCTATGCATGAATGGAGCGTTAGAGGAGTTGGGATTGAATAGGCCAAGTTTGAATGGTGTCTATGCACCACCTGCCTGCCTTAGCCATGGCGTACACATCACAGTAGCATGATCCGTCTCAGACCTACTAGAATCGGATGGGAAAGTGGAGAGCTGGGTGGATTTTCCCCATATTTATTGATCCTCCATGCACTAACAGAATAATGCAGCATACAGTCAATTTGAGTTAATTGGATATGACACAGCATGGACATGTAATCTATCACTGTAGAATCCTGGTTCACTTTCAGGATTTCACTGCTCCCCAAAACACACACACACACACACACACACACACATAATAGCAAAAATTAATGGGCTAAGAGGCACAAGTTAAAAAAAAAATAGCCTGTCTCAAATAGACTAAGTCCCTGCGGTTGAGGTTTGGGGAGGAAGAAGATATTTTTAAATGTTATTTGTTACCAGTCAATAATGCAACGTAAGAAAACTTGTAATTCTGATATAAATAGAGAACTTTTGATGTTATCCTTCAAATATTGCAAATATCCTTACACTTATTAAAAAAAATGTGCCTTACTAAGAAAACCACAGATATACAACCAGACTTGAATTATCTTTGAAAATATTCTTCAGTATATAAATTTTTGTCCCTGATCTACTCAGATGTAGTTAGCTTTACTATCTGAACTGACCACAGGATTAACGCTTTCCAGAATGTTAAAGCTGGTGAACCGGTTTAACTGGTATCAACTGTGATCCTACAGGTGTGTAGGTTGCATGCATCAGTGTGTGTCGCTAAGGAAAAGCTTCCTCATCCCATAGACATGAAACCAGATATGCAGACAGACAGCTACATTTGCCTAAGGCCCTAATTACTTAATTTTACTTCTGCAACATGCAAAACCTGGTGATCTGTCCCAAAGGAGGAGCAAAAATAAACAGGACCTTCTGTTTACTTTGTATATGCTTGAAAGTTTCCTTAATAAAGGTTTACCAAAAAAAAAAAAAATTAAAGATAACAAAGCTATCCTTCACCTGAGGAGTTTTCATTTTTTATTGGGGTAGGGAAGATCCCCACTGAACAGAATGATCAATGTACCCACAAGGGACACAAAACAAATTTGTAGGGTGGGGTTGGTTTGTTGAATCTGAGAAAATGAGCATTCATTTAGGAAGGGGAGAGATTGCAATTGGTTAGGGGTATTAGAGAAAGCCGAATGAAATTATTGGCATTTGAGAAGTGCCTTGAAGACTGGGGTAAGATTTCATTCAGTAGGCCAAAATGGAAGTCCTATCCTGGTAGGATTAGCCAAGGGGAGGGTTGGAGGAAAGCTGTTCATGTAGAAAGCACAGGTACCTCCGAGCCACAGTAGAGAATCCAGCAAAACTGGACACAGTGCTTTTGCAGAGGTGAGCTGGAGAAAGTACTGGAAAGGAAGTTTGAGGTCAGATTGTAGAAGGGTCTGTTGGGGAATCATAAAAATCACTGAAGACCTCCTAGTAAGGAAGGTATGATCAGCATTGACTGAATGCATGAAGAGTTTTATCTTATGTTTTTACAAGTGAGTACTCAGCTGGTGCTGAAAGCAGAAAGAAAAATGGAGCAAGATCCCCCCCTTGAAAATGTACCTCAGTATTTGATTGTTCACATGCATAAGTAAAGCCAGGGCTGCACTTTCTCCCACACACCTCTTCCATCTTCCTGGTGCAAGAACTCCATCGAGAAAGCCAAATCCAGGCATTTTGGGTGGCAATGGTAGAATAAGCCTTATTCTGACATTAGCATCAAGAGAGACATCATTTTCTGCATTTCTGCTGTGAAAAGAAAGCTATTTTCACCAGTGGTAAAAAGTACCTCTCGGTGCTTGAACTCAAATGTGATGAATGATGAAAAGAAACCCTTGCTTTGTTGCTGAGTAAAACCTCAGGCAGCGCTGGGAGGGATGTTGGTTATGGTCTCAATTTAATTTCAAAGAAGAATCTTCACAGATAGGAAACGTGAATGTGGATGCACACTTCTTAGCAAAGGAATAATGCTCTTTTGTAAAACATCTCATTATCCCCACCATTTGTATAGCACTCTGTACTTTTCAAAGCCATTTTCTGTGGATTACTTTGTTCGTTTTCTTCTCTAGATGGGGCAGGAGTCAACCTCGTGGAACTAATTAGGAAACTGAGGCACTGAGACTTGTGACTTGTTCCCATGTTTTTGTTTAGAAGAGGCACAATTGAAACTGGAATGAACATTTTCTTATTCTAGGTCTCCTGTCATTACGTTTGCTTTCAAATATTTGTGTATGACATTTTTACATAATTGTACAGAGGATGAGTAACTGTATATGCTCTTGCTTGATAGAAATCCATCATAGTACTAAACAGAGGCACTAATCCATGTGCCTAGGCAAGCAGTAAACCCAGGTGAGTGCCACCCAACCTGTGTTCCTCAGTGGGGCACAGTGCCACCTGGCCCTTGTTTGGGCATGAACACTTTCCAGTCTGATTGTTTTTCTTACCACAGTCTCTCTGTCATTATTTTGTATTCAAGCAAACAGCTTTGACTTGCGTTCAAGTTTTAGGACTGCAGGTGCCATCCAAGTGCCAAGGCATGATATTGCACTACATGTTTAAAAAACAATGACAAAAAAGTAAGTTTCAAGGGAGACTGAGATGGGTGAGCATCAGGTGGGTGTGTCTCGATATGCATTATGTGCAGAATCCAGTGAACAGATCCAATATGGAGCCTGGGAAAACCCAGGGGTCAAGCCGTCTCCATCCTGCACACTGCTTTGTGACTTCCCAGTCTTTCTGGGAAGACATGCCCCTTTTTGC